TGAGTGAGAGAGAGAGAGAGAGTGAGTTTGTGTGTGTGTGCATCAAAAGGACCCGTCGAAACGCAAACACAGAGGAACGCACCGTTCTTCCCAGTTTCAGCTATGCATACGCCGTGTTTAGAGTTTACTTTCGGCACCTCCGAAGCCATGAAGGAATCCGACACGCAGTATGGATTGTTCTGGGTGTCATCAACAGGAAGAGACGGGTTGTATCCCATGCACGTGTAGCACTGTGGTTCGGCGCCTGTGTGTTAGAAAACAAGCGTGACACTCGTAGGCAAATCCCTTTTGAAATTTGGCTTTTAAGAGTAGCAGGAAGTTCTTATATTGTTCAGCGATAATTCCACTTATTCAACGGTCCTGACAGATGATTCTCTACTTACTAGTCTGTACAATGGCAACTAGTGCCACGAGGGAGACGGAGAGAAGTTTTGCCATTGCCATCTGCCAAGTTGCGGTTCGTGTTGGGGAAAACACAAGACATTTGAATACTTTGACATTTGAAAGCTATGGTATGAAATGATGATAATCTTTTTTCATGGTGTTCACACTATCATTTTACTTTCATCACTAAAGCCTCAAGCTCACTCTTCACCCATTCTCTTGATAAATCCAATTGCAATGATTTCATTTAAAACAACACATTAGCAAAGAAACAAATCGCATGGATTTTACCATTGACAGAAGTAAATCAGAATGGATAGATGGATGACTAACAATGGACAAGGTAACTCACTTTTCGCTGGCTACTCCAAGCAGGACCAAGCGACGAGTGGCTGTCTTGTTAACATTCCCTTGCAGATTACATGCTACGCCTATTTTTGATAAGATTTCGTAGAAGGGGAGGGATGGAAAGATTAAAGAGAAATAGAGGGAGGGCCGACAGCAGATAAGGAGACAGACAGAGTTGTTATACATGTCATCAACGTGTAGCACGGAGAGAAAAGAAAAGGGGAAAGGGCAAAGCGATAGGGGGATAAATGGGGGAAGGAGTGAAGAGAGGCGAGGAGGAAGTGAGTGGAGGGAACAGGCAAGAGAAGGAGGGAAATAACGCGATAATTAAAGAGAGCCATGATGATGATGATCATGATGAGGGTATGATGATGATTGTTATATATATGTGTGCGTGTGTGTTTGTATGTTTATCGTGAAAAATATATTTTAGTTTAGTTTAGTTTTATGCAACAATATTATTATGTCAAATTTTATTTACTTACTGTTCATTATGACAAATTACCATTTTTTGTGAAAAAAAACATGTACATCCAGTTTCTCCCTCCCCCCCCCCTCTCTCCTCTCTATATATATATGTATATATTATATGTATATATATATATATATATATATATATATATATATATATAATTATATTATATATATATATATATATATATCAGCTTCTATATATCTATACCACACACACACACACACACACACACACACACACACAATATATATATTATTATATATATATATATATATATTATATATAATATATATATATATACTATTTATATATTTATATATATTATATATATAATATATATATATATATATATTATATATATATATATATATATATATATTATATATATATATATATATAATATATATATATGTTGTGTGTGTGTGTGTGTGTGTGTGTGTGTGTGTGTGTGTGTGTGTGTGTGTGTGTGTATCCAGACTCTATAGATACATTCACATCACAAAATGAATATATCATTTACCGCTAATATACTGACTGTAAGTGAATTTTTTTTTCGCATGGTGTCGATAAAGTATTTAAATATTTATGTATGAGAAATAAACTGACCCTCTATTGTTAATATAATAATTATTTAGATAGTACAAATATCATTATTGTTATTAGTATTATCATTATCAGTATGATTGTTATCGTCATTAACATTATTATTGTTATTGCTATAATTGTTGATTTGATTGTCATTATTATTATAATCATTATTATCATTGCTAATGTTTTAATATCAGTAATACTGTTAGTGTTATTGTCATCATTATTATTATTGCTATTATATTTTTTATTATTATCATCCTCATCCTCATCCTCATCATAGTCTCAGTATTGTTTTTATTATTACCATTGTTATTGTTATTACTATTATTCGTTAACGTTATTATTTTATGCCGTAAATGTTATTACTATTATTGTTCTGTTTTTGTTGTTACTATTATTATTCCCATTATAATCATAGTCATCATTAAGATGATTTTCATATTATTACTGTTTCTATTATTGTTATTGATTATTTTTGTTGTTGTTATTATCATTATCATCATTATTGCTAAAATAGTAATGACTAATCATAACTCTGATGATGCTAGTAATGGTAAGAAAGATGATAATAATAATGGTTATTATTGTTATTATTCTGATAATGATGATTATTATCATCTTTATCAATATTATTATATATTTTTCATTTTTCCTGCTCCTTATCTGTCTCCCCTTACATTCGTTCTCCCTTTCATGGTCCTCGTTTTCTTTTGACAGCGGCTAACCATAACTACAGGAAAATTTGCACTGTCATTCGTAAACACGATAACTTATAATTCTTGTGATTAAACTTCATCATAGAAGGCTATACCATACTGTAACGTGACGGCGATTCTTAGCTACCAATTGACTAACAAATGGATTAAAGGTCGAAAGGCGATAAAATAAGCTATTCGTAATAGTATTATAGCCCCTACAGCTTTTTGACATACGCAAACTGCCACGAGGTTAATAAAGATACCCGAAGACATCATGCTTAAAATTCTCTACTCGAATGACTTCCTGTGTAAGGGAAAATCTTCACGCCATTGTTGACCCAAGTTGGATACTTTGCTATTCATTCAATTCATACATTATGATTTGTCACCCGAGCTTATTCGGCAGTACGCTACTATCATCGATCTCTCATCTAAAAGAAGTTTTTAATTATGATCCAACGCATTTCAGAATCCAAAGAATTTACTCTGTAGTGTCATCACACCCACACACACGCGCCGCGCACACATACACACACACACACACATACACACACACACTGCGGAGGAGCCCGAGAGGTAGGCCCACAAGAGTATGATCAGTTGTCGCTTAGGGTGTAAGGCAGACAACCGAGATGTATAAATTCCTTATTAAAAGAGTAATAATTTTGGAGTGAGGATCCCGTATGGAGGAGCTGTTGCTTCTTGGTTTCACCAGGGAGTTAGCCTGTCATCTTGTACAGTGGTTTAAGGGTTGCAGTAAATCACGTATTCAGCTTGTGAAAGGCGGTTGCTGAAGAAAATGTGTTACAACAATACATAGTTATTGCTATGTATGTGTGTGCATGAGAAGATATGTATGTGTGACAACCATGTACGATAATCAGTTTTGTAGAAGCCCCAGGGTCGCAGCAAGGAGGTTTCCTTGTTGCTATCTCAGCAAGCTATCCTATACTTCTGTCCTCAGAGAAGCATGGCCCTTCGTCCAAGGCAATAAGCAAAGCTGACTTGCCTGAGAATGTGCTAGTATTAACAGTCATTTTTAATAAACATTGCCAGCTTCTTCCTCCTTCGAAGCCACTGAGTTGCCATCATACTCAAAACAAATTCTCTTGATCCTCTAAGATATATGCCCCCCCCTCCCCCCAACCTTTTGAATGACTGTCACTGTTGGTGTGGTCGTAATTCCAATCCCTGAACTATCCAGTGCCTCGACGTGGGACCCTGTCTTGAAGCATAATCTCCAGAAAAATAATTCCTGAGGAATTCTTTTACAATCAGACGACCTGGAGACATCGCAGAACCAAACAGCCTTCGCTATTTGGTTAACCTCAACAATTACGTCACCTTTGAGGAGGAGGTCATTGCTGTTACCAGGACTTACATTTGATGATCTCCATCGATCACAGTAGCCTAATTAAGAAAAGAATTTGTTTCCATGGTATATTCAAGAGGGTTGGGTAATATATGGTTCCCCTATTTCATTAACCGTTGCTCTGGAAAACTCGACCCTAAGGACTGTTTACGGCCTGTTATTATCCTGGTTAATGAGAATAACATTCCCACGGAAAATCTACAGCTATGTGGAGGACGACTAGTCCTTGCATGCAATCCAGAGCAAGGCAGCATCTAATTTCAAGATTCACTCAACCATATGTCTAGATGGGCTTCAGGAACAACACTCAAATAAATGAAGTGCTTCCTAACGCTTTAAGACGATATTGAATTCTGAGAAAATGTTTTATATATGCTGTGTAAGATCAAATGACTCAGCAATCCGATGGTCAAAATCAAGTGACCATATCTGCTTACAAGACACAAACTATAAATCGTTTTACACACGCAGCGCACAAACAAATAAACTAAACAAACAAACGAACCCACACACAAACACACATATGAAAACACAGATACACACGTGAGCACACTATGCAAGGAAAATGCTATTCGTATGATATATTTAAGTAAGAACAAGTAATCCTCGTTTATGGCTGGTATTATACCCCCCCCCAAAAAAAAAAAAAAGTGGAAAAACATAATTTGTCTTGTAAATTGGGATAACTATTCTTAGAGTCCTTATTTATATGCAATTATTTTTTTACCTGGATTTTTTTTTTATAATCCTATCAGCCATAACAGGAAACAAATAGGTGTAAAAAAACATAAAACCGGCAACATGTGAACTTGAAGTGAAAGTTAACTAGTTTCGCTTTACAAAATTTTATTCTTTGGACAGATTCTTTTCCAAAATCCCAAAGCATTTCTTACCTGCGAAGAATTGTAGTTACAATATTTCTTGCAAAACGTAAAATCTAAATCTGAAATACATTAATATATATATATATTATATATATATATATATATATATATATATATATATGTATATATATATGTATATATATGATATATTATTATATATATATTATAATAATTATTATATATATATTATATATATATATATATAATATATGTACCAGTGTATGTGCGTATGTATGTAATTACGTAATTATGTATCGGCGTATGTTATGCTGTGTATAAACATACACGTAGACTCACACACAATGTACTAATCACTGCTGGCTAGCTACTGGTCTCCTTCATTTATTACACTTCATTATTAAGTAGCATTTATCAGACCTAGCATTCCAAGCTAATCCACTATCATCATGTTTGTTTCTTTTTCTTCTTTTCGTTATTAGGCTAATCACCATTCTCGTTATCGCTGCTTTTCTTATAACTTTGATTAGCACTGATATAAATTGTACAGTTATTGTATATTGTTATTATTGTTGATGTATCATTGTCATTATCATTCATATTCTTTTCTTGTCTTTTGTCCTTTTTCAAAGACCAATATTTAAATAGGTAGATAAATGTATAGGATATGTATCATAAAGTTATGTATTCCGACCTGTGTCTGAAAACAACAAACCTGAATCTTTAGAATTCACGTTATATATATATTTTTTCATTTCTTTTTATCAGTATATACATTTTTGAGTTAGGAAGATCCGAATTGGTTCTTATGTTTTCAAATGTCGAATTCTCTTTTAAAGTCTGAAGTATTTTTGATATCAGTTATTCACAGTTTGTGTGCATATAATTGAGTTCAAAAGAGAGACAGTTCAATAAAAGTATGAGTCATATATGAAAGGATTTGTTTGCATGTGTTTAAGTATAAGTACCTTTGTGCATGTCCTGTTTTCCTGTTTGTGTTTTCTTCTTTTCACTCTGTATATATATATTTTTTCT